GCATTCATGGGGATTTTTGTATGTTTTTTTGTGTGTATGTACCTCAGGCTGAGCAGGGTTCTCATGGATATTCACTTTGTGGTGCATCTGTGAAGTTAGGAAAAAGCACATGAGTCAGAAGAGGAAAGAGGATGAGCGCTAATGTGAGTTGCCAGGCAGTCCCAGACGAGATAAAGACTTAGTGGGCCAATCCACAAATAACTACTATTTCTTTTTAAAACAACAAAAGTGGCTGAGTTCCTTTCACCTCTCTTTTATCTTTGCCTTGAATATAAATCAAGCTTTACACCTACCGGTGGCTCAGAGGAGGTAGCTGAAGGTTGTGTAGAAATATGAGGATTCACAGGCTGATAAGACAAAGCTGAAGGATGTGAGTAACTTGGGCACGCAGGTTGATTCTCAATCTGTAATTGGAATAAGGATTTTCAAATTTTAAAAAAAAGAACATCAAATATTAACACAGCTGGTCTTAATTTCCATTTGAAAGAGTACTTACATGACCATATACGGCAGGTGCAGGTGAGGCTGCAGTCTGAGGAGCAGACTTGTCCCTTTTACAGCACTTTTTGTAACAACAGCAACAGCAGATGTTTCCGACGACAATCAAGGCAATAACAGCCATAAATATAAACTGTGGCAACATTTCTGTAAGAGCATGGAGAAAGTTAGGGAATATGGTGTAGAGGGTGGGGGTTAATGTTAGTTAGAACTTCTACTCTATGAGGAGAAATGCTCTGTTGCTTACCAGGGCTCACTTCAAGCTGAGCCCTCAAGATCAGGTTGCCTTCTGGGTCTCTGAACTCAAAGGTGCCAGAGTCTCTAATTTCTGTAGAATTTATAATTATGCCATCCATCACTGCACGAATTCTGCCAGAAAAGCGATTATCTTTTATGATCAGACTGCCATTCATCAGTGTTTCGGGATTCATTTGGCCCTCAGGTGTAAAAGTCATGGTCCACTTCTTAGGACCCCGAGGGTATTCAATGAGAATGTGCTCATTCCACCTTGTTTCATAGTGTCTGGTTTGTTCTGTTAGTGACTGACCTTGTACTTTGAGCAGCACCTTGGCCAACACAGAGTGGTTCTTATCCCTGAAGTTGTAGTACCCACTGTCTGCCTGAGTGAGGTAAGACAGCTGCCAATTACCGTTTTTCACCTCAGCTCTGCTTTCTCTGATCTGAGAGTCTGTGCGATTCCACAGGATCTTTGGCTGGTCCGGACTGTGAAGGGGAGTAAACTCCAGGATTTCAGCCCGTCTAGGGATAGAGTACTCCCAAGTATCGTAGTAATCCCTTGTGACATTTTCAGCACATTCTTAAAATGCAGATTAAGAAAAAAAAAGGAGGGGACTTGTGCTTAGGAATAGGTAGCTAAAACACATACCTATATATTTTTGATCTAAATATACAGTACAGTTCAAATTCTTACCCAAGACTTTCAGTTCAACAACATCTTGTCGCTGGTAGCCACCAGATGAGACAGAATAAATTCCTTCATCTCTTTTTTCTACATCTGTAAGATAAATTGAGCCAGGAAAGACTCTGAAGCGTGCGTCTATTGCCTGAAAGATAGACAGCACATATATATTCCTCAGATTAGAACATATTCTATATACTTTGATTTAATTGTTTCAAACATAGGTTTAACATTTATCATATTGCAGAAATGTAATGGTCACATAGAGGCTGCTCACCATCCCATAATTTATAACAACTTTTTTGGATTCCGTATTACTTTCAGTAAAGTATATCGGTCCAGTATAACGTAAGGGTATATAATTAGATGGAAACTGCCACCTCCTGCCATAGCACACCTCATCAGTTTGTATACCAGAGGATGAACCTTTAATCAAAAAGATGCAAGAGAAGAAGAGACAGATGGAGGTAGTGTTAATGTAACTGAAACCACAAACATCTGACAACATATCAGTTGTTTCCATTAATATACCAAACACACACACACACACACACACACACACATTTTGTTACACTCTGAAAGTAATTTTGAAGACAAGGTTCTGGAACATCATTGAATTTACACAAATGCAGCAGCATAAAAAAAAGCATTCCTACAGATCTCTCATCCCCAAAGCATGAGGCAGAGTAAAGTATAACTCTCAATCTGATGAATTAACTCACATTCGTCATAAAGCATCGGAAATAAACCAAGTTATTATTAGCTGAATGAAGGAAATACATGAACATCTCACATCAGTAAATTACCCTCTTTTCAGCTCAGTCACCACAGCAGCTCCAAACCATTAAACCATTTTTGCCTTGCCTGTAACTTTGTCTCCAAACGGTTCAACCTGATTGGTCCCTCTGATGCACTCACTTCATCAGCCGCTATTCTCAAATCAGCAATGGCTGACCATCTTAGAACAGCAACTGGCCACTTTTAGATATCAGCACTACTGAGCCATTTACTCAAACCCATACATCACAACAGCGAGGTGAATTAATGAAGCCAGATCTGTGGTTTGGCCAGCTATGCTGAGATGGCTAAGCTCAAAGTAAGAGTCACTGTGGTAATTTATGCTGGTGGCGGTCCTGGCCTGTTTGGGCGAACACTCCCTGTTTGTTTACTTGGACCGCGGTAACTGGAGCCTCGTCGTCTCGTCTCTCTATATACTGGACTGTATATAGCGGAGATGACAATAAAGTTTACTTTGACTTCAGCACAGCAGCAAGCAGGCGCACCGAGGGCTCTCGCGCTCACTTTTCGCGTATAGAATTTCGAAAAAACATCGGTGCAAATTATAAGTCTGTATCATGTCTGGTGCTTTCGTGTTTGTTGTTTTGTTTTTATTTTGTTTTATTTTGCGAGTTGGTTATTAGATGCTGCTTCAGGGAGCCAGATAATCCCCCGCCCACCCGCCCTCTCATCTCTGTGCAGTAAACAGCAGGCGCACCTCGCAAACGAAGGGCGCCCTTACTCCCAGGAAATGGGCGATAGAAAACCGATCGGTGCCTATGCCATTCCCAATATGCGCTGGCTGATGTCGGGGCAGCATGAGTACGAGCAATTTTTTATTTTTTGCCGATGCCCGTGATGCCGCCCCCACCATGCCGCCCTAGGCAACCACCCGTGTCGCCCGTATCAAAAACCGCTAGGGAGCAGGTCAGGTTTTAGTTTAAATCCTCCAGAAACGCAACGTGTTCACTGATTCTTTTATTTACAGCATGTTTTAGCTGTTAAGCGAAACCTTATTAAAAACCAATGAATGAAGCACAGAGTGTACAGGAATGTGCACATATAATTAATTAATTCGATATGAAAAGTATAAATGTTGCTATACGTGGTTTTAATCTGTTGCTAAGTTTCTTTAGCACTGCTGGAATTGCAGCTCCATGAACACTGAACATAAACCATGAACACCGTTTCAACTAATAAAATACCAAAAAGTTGACTCTGTTCATCTAGACACAGGATTAACTTTTTGGGATGTCCTTACCTGGATGATTGAGCATGCATCAAGACAACCAATAAAATAATTACACTTTGATCTGCTGACAAACTGCCATTCGGATATTGGACAATGGCCTTTAACGTTTAAATAGATCCAGTTTAAAATTTCAAAGCTCTAATCTGCAGCTATTACCTTAAACAGCAGTGATAACGTGATTAACTTGAATGGATATGATATGTTTTTTCTTTAAATATTATAAATGACCATTTTAAGCGCCACTCTT